CTGCTAAGCGTACACTTAGTTTGAAGCCTGGGTTTACCTCCGCAAAGTGTGTGAAATAAATGGGCCATTGATCGTACATCATGTAAGCTCTTAATCACCATAATTAACACTTTTAACGGGCCGAGGCATCTTTAATTTTTAATTTAGTTTTTCTTTCTTTCCACGGGGGAAATTTATTCCCTTCAAAGCATACTTTTGTTGATTCATTTGCTTTCCTTTAGAAAGCATGCCTACGTATTCTGAACCACTTTTATGCAATAATTTATTTATGTAATAATAATAATAATAATAATATAACCACCTTTATGTACTAAGCGAGATGAGGTTCTATCACATAAATCGCTTAAATCACTGGGTTACTGTGGACAGCTTTGGGTGGCTGGAAAATATTTTCAAAGAAACACAACACAATGTTCATAGATCAACCAAGAGCAAATGAGAAATTGATCCTGGCCTACGGGCTTTTCCAGTTTCATCTGTCCAAAAAAGAGATGTTACAGAACAGTGGTTAAAGTGTCAGGCTAGGTGCTGGGAAACCCAGGTTCAGATCCCCATCGAGCCATGGAACTCACTGGGTGACCTTGGGCTCTTCACTCACTGTCAGCCTGGCTTACTTCAAAGGGCTGTTGTGAGGATAAAACAGGGAAGGCCAGAGGGTGATATTGTCAGCCGCTTTGGGTATAAATATCTGAATAAAAAGAGTAACTTTCAAAACAATCACAAGGCCACCTTTAAAACACTGCAAAGTTTTGTTTTTTAAAAAACAAAATTGGTTGAATTCATTTTAATTTAATGTTTTTAAAAAGACACTGGATTGCCCTGACCTGGATAGTCCGGGCACACCCGATCTCGTCAGATCTCAGAAGCTAAGCAGGGCCGACCCTGGCAAGTCGTTGGAAAGGTGACCTCCAAGGACTGCCCGGGCCCGGGATGCAGAGGCAAGCAATCAAGCCACCTCTCTGGAAAATGTCCAAACCCCACTAGGGGTCGCCAGAAGTCACCAGGACTTCCAGGCATGCAAGCACATGCACACACGCATGCACCCCCCGCCCCAAAAAAAGCCCTCCGTTTTTTTAAAGGCACTTGATTGGTTTCACAGATTGTAGTTAATCAAAAATAAATATAAATTTAAATTAGCTTCTGGTTTCAAGCTTTTCTTGCTCAGTTGCTGCAGAGAAACACAAGGTTAACCTGACATTCTCAAGACCCTGTTCAGAAGTCAGGATTAGGGTTGCCGGCTGCAGTCAGCAACACACACACACACCGCCGAGGAGTTGGGTGGGGACAGGGCCACAGGCACACAGGAGGTTTGCCAGGTCCTCTCTGGCCACTGGCAAGGGATGGGAGACAGGGTTACCAGATCCAGGTTGGGAGATTCTTGGAGATTTGGGGATGGAGCCGAGGGAGGACCTGGTCCTCCGTGGCGTGCAATGCCACAGAGTCCAACCTTCAAAGCATCCATTTGCTGAGTCAAAACTGACCCCTGTTGTTAGATCGCCGCTAACAAAGACCCGGAGAGTGATTTCAACCAAAGTGATCAGCTTTATTGGAGATATGAACAAGCGCTTGAATTCAGTCATAACCAGAACAGATTAACATTGGGAGCTAGGCTCCTTTTAGACGTTCCCGGACTAACGTAGCCACGCCTACTTACAATAACAACCAATGAGGTTGTGCAGATAAAGTCCAATGAGCTCTTTTCCCTCGCAGGGGAATAGTCCACTCCTGATTGGTCGCTGTTGTAGAGCGACCAATAGCAAGTCAGTTCTGAGGAGCCTTCGTCCGGCTCGAAATTCGCATGGGGAGTGAATGCGGCGATTTCAGTAAGCCATTTCAATACATTACACCTGTCATCTGGAGATGAGCTGTAATTCAACTTCTGGAACGTCAGCCCTGACATAGTAATGTCATTTATGGTTTTTCCTGGAAGTAACATTGTGTGATGATGCACCCCCCCCCCCACTTCCCCCCATCTTTCCCCTGCTGGACATAGAAGCACCAATGGGGAATGGAGATAAGAGGTAATAAATTGTATACTCGGGTCTTGTTCTCACTTTCCATTTAAGCAGGCTCTGGGGGGGGGGGAATTATGGCTCCTAAATTTTGCAAGATTTCCACCTCTTGATAAGTATATAAAATTATTACTGGCATGAGCAGAGTGGCTAGAGAGATACTTTTCACATTCTGTTGTAATATTAAATTTGGGTTCCCCTTATGAAACTTGAGCTGCGGTGGCTCAAGTGGTTAAGACGCTGAACTACAGGCTGTGGAAGGTCAGTAGTTCAGCAGTTTGAGACCCGAGTTGCCGCATGATGGAGTGAGCTCCCATCCCTGGTTCCAGCTCCTGCCAACCGAGCAGTTCGAAAGCAAGAAATTGCCAGTAGATAAATAGGTACCACTTCGGTGGGAAAGTAACAGCGTTCCGTGCGCCTTGGTGTTTAGTTATGCCGGCCACATGACCACGGAAACGTCTTCGGACAGCGCTGGCTCTTCAGCTTTGAAACGGAGATGAGCACCGCAACCCTAGAGTCGGATTTGACTGGCTTTCGAGTAAGGGAACCTTTACCTTTATGAAACTAACTGGTAGCGTGGTTCAGGGCACAGAAACAAAAATACCCTACACAGTACATAATGCAGTGTGGTGTAGTGGTTAAAGTAGGATTTGGGAGACCCAGGTTCCATTCTGCAGTTAAACTTGTTGGGTCTCGTTCATATGCAGTTGAAATTCAAAAACTTAAAATCATGACGAGATGGTATCTTGCCCCTCAAACCATCTCCCATATGTCTCCCACATACTCTCCAAAGTGTTGTAAAGTTGTGGCGTACTTGGATCTTTCGCACATTGTTGGTGGCAATGCACAAAAATAAAAACCTTTTGAATGGATATATTAAAAATTATAAAACTGATCTTAAACATTGAATTGACACTAGATCCTGAAAACTTATTATTGGAAATATGGTCTAATCAGATCAACCAACACCACTATGGGAACACACTGGAAACAATGCTGTATGTGGCTAGAGTCTCTATTGCTTCAATGTGGAAAGAAGGGAATTCCCCCACCATTCAAATTTGGTTCAGAAAATTGTGGGACCAGTATGTACTAGAGAGTATAACTGATAGAAGTAGAAATTCTTTAAGGAATAACCCAAACATGACGTTCAATGCAAAGTGGTTTCCAATCTTGTCCTATCTGTTGGGAGAAGAATATATACCTCCCTCTTGGAAAGACTACATGAAATGGTTCTGAAGATACACAACACAAGAAGTATGCCAGACACAATAACACCACTTTTAATATAATAAATTTATTGGTTAACAGGAGTCCTGGTTTTCTAGTTGCAAGGTCATTCAACATTATATTAATATGGTAATATATCTATTTTAGGTCATATCACTAAAATCACTAAAAAAGATACTTTCAATCACTTTGTAATACCACACTATATCTATTCTTCTATGTTTTATACTGATTATTGTATAACGTATCGTTCAAAAAATTTTTATCTCAAGTTCATTCAATAATTGTAATCGGGGTTTTTTTAAGTTGCAGAAGAACTAACCAAATTGAAAAGTTATTCACTCATGTTATTATGTATGTTACAGTTATTATTACTCAATAAAAATTTTAAATGGGGGGGAAAAACCTTGTTGGGTGAGCTGGAGCAAGTTATTCTTTTTCTTCAGATGATGCAAATTTTACATGTTCGGTAGTCAAACATAAAGGTAACTGGGCATGAGCCAATCATTTGTTCTACTCAGCTTAGCTTGACACCAAGCAATCTCAACACCTGCTGATAAAAATTATGTCAGATTCTTTGCAAAACATCTTACAGATGAAAACACCATTAATGTCACTAAGGATCATCTACATGAGCACTGAATGACAGGGTTTTTAAAAACAACATTTGTTTATGATTGATTTGTGACTGATTCAAGTTAAAACAATTGTCTGCCAAGTAGAGCTGCAGTGCAGCATTGATGGGGGTGGGGAGTAGGACTCCATCAGGCTGCATAAGACGGCACAAACATGCAAAGCTGATGGCACTGCGCTGTATATTTAGGAGGGAATCCCCCTAAAGCAACCTACCGAAGAACCACAAAGGTCTGTCAAAAAATTGGTTGCCTGATTGCGAGTGGCAAACAGGACTGAGCTGAACCAGTGGTGGTTCGAGCAGGGGTCATTTCCTGCAGGAGTGCACAGGAGCGGAGCTCCAGCAGTAAAGAGCCCAGGGGGCGGGCACATGCAACAAGCCACGCCCCCTGCTCACAGCAGCCCTGGCCCACAAGGAGCAAGAAGCAGCCAGGTAAGTTGCAGAGCCCCCCAGATAGCAATCCAAAAGAGTCCAGTGGCACCTTTAAGGCCAAGGTTTATTCAGGTATAAGCTCTCCCTCCTCTGCGAGGGCAGATCTATGCATCCCTCCCCATAGCTAGCAATCCAAAACAGTCCAGTGGAGCCTGAGCGGTGGGTGTTGCCTTCTGACACACTTCCAGTGACGTCAGGGTGTGTGTGGCATATGCAAATAAGTTATGCTAATGAGTTATGCTAAGGAGCTCCTGCACCTCTTTTTCTACGAAATGACCCCTGGGTTCGAGCATCCTTGTCTCTGCCCAACATGCATCACAGGGTTGCTGTGAGAATAAAATGAGGAAGGAAGAACCATGAGCTGCCCTGAGTTCCTTGGAGGAAGGACAGGATGAAAAGTTGGCTTTTTAAAAAGGATCTGATGCATGGAGGAAATCAGTGGCTGGTAGACATGATAACTAAATAGAACCTCCATGTCCCGAGGCATCTCTGAATGTTAGATGCTGGAGGCAACGAACGTGAGGAGTGTTGCCTTCATGACCTCCTTGTAGAGTTCTTGCAAGCATCTCGCTAGCCACTATTGGTAAGAGAAAGCTGGGCTAGGTGGACTCTTGGTCTGGTACAGCAGGACTCTTCTTATGTTTGTATGCTATACTGTTGATGTGTTACCCCTTCTCCTTCTCCCCCATTTGTTCCCCTACCTTGCATGACTTACTGCAGAAACAGAGGGATGAGGACTCGCCTAGGTTGCCTGTCTCACAAATCAGACTCATGCAGCGACTTCACAGCTATCCTCCTGGACAAACCCAACCGGGCTTTGAAGTAAGTAGAGAAGCAGCCTGCTTCCTTCCATTTCAGAGTTCCTCTTTTCTCCTTCCTGGTGGCTTCCATGCTCTCTTTTTATGCTTCGGAGCATGGGAAGGGCTGGTTCGAGATAGTTTGTCACCCACAAGCAAGGTATACGCATCACTTCCTGATCCCGCATTGCCAACAGTCCAAGTGAACCCCCTGTGGCAACAATGGTTTGGACATGGTTAGAGGTGGCTTGAGCCCAGGAGGGAACGTCAGTCACCCTGGTCCCCCCCCCCCATGCCGTTAATGGCTGGGAGTGCTCTGAACCCCTGTGGTGTATCAGCCCCCTCCTCATTGTGGTGTCCCTGTTGGTCACTTGGATGGCTGAACTGGAGGATCAGTCCTGAGCGTAGGTCAGAACCCCTGAGAACACTGTTCACTAAATCACCTTTTGAAAAGTTGCATTCTTAAATCTTTATGAGTCCTTTTATTTATTTCGAATATTTATAAGCCCGAATTTCTCCTGGGCATCTCAGGATGCAAGGCGGATCACAGCAATATAAAACAGTTTTATAAACCAAACATTAAAACACCCACTGTCTGCAGGGCATAAGATATTTCCCTTTTGCCCTGGCTTTTATTTCTTTATTTCCTGTTTTATAGCTGCTTGTAATGGTTCCAGGGTTTTAAGCTAGATTTGAATGGGCTGTGAACAGGAGGGAGTTTAATGACTAGAGTTTACTTTGTTGTTGTTTTTTAAATGTACTGTTATTGTGTTAGTGTTGATTCATTTTTTATATTTATTTATCTGTTATTATTTTATTCTTCTTTTCTAAGCAGTGCCCAGTGCTTTTTTTAAAAAAAGATGAATGGCAGGATGTTAAAGTTTATGAATTAAATAATTAAAACAACCAAAATAAATAAACCAGGGAAAGCTTAAAAATCTACCCAGCTTGTTGCAACCACAGAACCTATTCTGTGAGAATACTGGTTCACTGCCAGGCCAGGGTAAAACATTTTCCCACTTTTACATAGCTATTGGTCCCGTCACATAAACCAGGGGTCAACAGCCTTTTATAATTAAAGAATCAAACTATGTCAGAATTCTGAGCAATCGATGAACAAAGAGTCAGCATAAGAAAGCCTATTTGCATAACAGAAAATATACAGCTTACCAGTAATTGGCATGTTGGCTAATAATCATAAAGTTCCAGCAGCTGGAAAACTTCCTTTTGTTAGGAAGGGGCACAAACAGATCTCACAATAAGTCATTAAGTATAAAGTCACAAATAAGTCACCTTGCCCATTTGTTTTAGTGAACGGTAATAAATCTGTGCATAGTTGGCATTTGGAATACTGCCAGCTGTTCACCTCTATCATTTTGCTTTCTCTAATAAACCCTCTAATAAGTCCCATAAAAATATCTTTACCTTCCATTCCCTTCACATATTAGTTATTCTAGCATCCCACTTATCTCTCCAATATGACTTAATTGAAAGATTTTCTTATCTTTTTAAAGAGCATATTTGGTTTCATCCTGTGTAGGGTTACCAACTCCTGGTTGGGAAACACCTCAAGTTTTGGGGTCTGGAGCCCGGAGAGGGTGGGGTGGAGTGAGGGGTGGGGAAGGGAAGGGAAGGGCCTCAGCACAGTATAATGCCTTGGAGTCCACCCTCCGAAGTGGCCATTTTCTCCAGGGGAACTGATCTCCGTAGCCTGGAGATGATCTGTAATTCCAAGAGGTCTCCAGCCCCCACCTGGAGGTTGGCAACCCAAATCCTGAGCCATATTTGGCACTAGAGCTGTAGAAAGGAGTCCTCTGCCAAAAGCCAGTTCTGCTTCTGCAGTCTACTCTGCAATTCAACAGTTTACAAAGACCACAGACTTCCAAGATTGTACACAAAAAAGATGACACCGAATGAAGCATGAACTGATTTCCCATTTTGCACAGTCACAGAATTTGGGCTTTCTGACAGTGGAATTCTAACATTATTCCTTATTCCCCCTTTTCACCTTCACCCCATAATTGCTCCTGACTGCCATTTTATTTCTCCCAGAAGGTTATCAACGGAAGAAACTACAAGATGGGCAGATTCTTTTGATGTTCTCCTGTCCCACAAATGTGAGTAGAAGCTTATTTCACATGCAATATGTTATTTTGCCCTCCTTCCTAAGCCATATATGAGCAGCTGATGTTATCTGTTACCTGCTTTGTAAAAGTATCAGGCAGCCGTGGGGTTTGGCTCTCATACAGTATACTGGGTTTTATGCTATGGATATCTGGACATGTTAGTCTCAAATGGGCCTTTCTTTGAATTAACTCTGTAATGTGAATGTAAAACCTGTATACCAAAGAAGTTACATTCTCTTGAGAGCCAGTTTGGGGTAGTGATTAGGAGCACAGACTGTAATCTGGGAGAAACAGGGTTGATTCCCCACTTCTCCACATGCAGCTGCTGGTGTGACCTTGGGTCAGTTACAAGTTCTTTCAGAGCTGTTCTCTCAAAGGCAGTTCTCAAAAGAGCTCTCTCAGCCCCATCTACCTCATAGGGTGTCTGTTGTGGGAAGGGCAAGGGAAAGGAGATTGTAAGTGGCTCTGAGACTCCTTCAGGTAGTGAATGGTGGAGTATAAATCCAATCTCCTCCTCCTCCTCCTCTTCTTCTTCTTAGTGTTCAAGTGTACGTATTTAGAAAATGTAAACGCCAGTTTTCCAGAGGCCTGTTAAAGGTGGCTCACAGGGGAAAAAACAATACAATAAAATCATATAAACCAGAAGATAAGAATGATCAATAATAAAACAAAGGGGGAAAACAATCCAGAACCATAGAAACAGAGGAGCCGGGAACGTCACATTCCTGCATTCCCTTCTCCTGTGTGAGAGCCCAGTTCCTGCCTGGACTGTGCCACGGGGCAGCCTGGCCATGTGGAAGGAAGCCCAAGCAAGCCCCCCTTCCCTCCCTCCTCTCCCCCCTTTGGGACTCATGAGCCTCCCGGTGGGAATCTGACCCTGGATCTTCCCCTTCCCCCCTTCCCACCCTCCCTCCTAGGGATCCAGCCTCCCTCCTCTTCCTCCTCCTCCCCCGGATACTTGGATCCTCCAGCAAGGCTGCCCCCATTCTTGGTCCCTTTCCCCGAGTGATGGAAAATTCCTCTGTGGCTTTTGCCTCCTCTGAGGCAGGGAGCAGCCGTTCGCAGGAAATCGAGGAGCTGGAACGGTTCAGCGACAGCTACATTTTGGAGTATCAAGTCCAGGGCCTGCTGACCGACAAGACGGAGGGGGACGGGGAGAGCGAGAAGATGCAGTCAAACGTCTCACAGTGGATGGCTGACTGTAACGAACAGATAGAGGGCAGCGGCTCCACGTCTAGAGGGAAAGGTTCCAGACCTCACAATTAGACACAGGAAGAGTGGGATCACAGCGGCAGTGGCATCTCAGAATCTCGGCCTAGTTCAGGCTCCAGGCATGGGTCTGTCTTAAGGTCTGGCGGCCGAGGGAGCAGCAGCCAGCTGAGGCGTTCACGCAAGAATGGCAACAAAGACAGCTCCCTTAACATGCTGGGGACAGATATCTGGGCAGCCAATACCCTCGAGCCCTTCAGCGGTGCCACCTGGGACTTACATCCTGAAATCATAGAAACAACAGAAAACAACAATCATCAGCAGTGTAAAAAGAAAGTAGTAAAACAGTTCTCAGGCTAGAGGCAGATCATAAAAATAGCTTTAAAGGATGGGACCCTCCCACTTGAACATCTGGGTAACATAGGGTCGGCAAATCTTTTTTACCTGGTGGTGGGGGGCTCCTGCCTGGCGTCTTGAGTGTGTGTGCGCGCCACCTGGATGTGACGTCATGATGCCAGGCACGCTGGGGGCGGGGCCTCCCCTCAAATGGCTGTGGCCCCGCCCCCAGCATGCCCAGCGTCATGATGTCACATCCGGGTGGCGCACACACGGGGGTGGGGTTTCCCCCAGGGCCCGATTCCGTGGGGGTGGAAATCGGGCCTCCAAAGCGGGGGGAAATCTGCCCCCCGGGGGGACTTGGCAATCCTAGGGTAACAAGAAACCGTCAGGTGTGGCACCGAAAAGTAAGTAAGGTAGACATCTGGTGAGTCCCAAAGGTAGTGTTGCCAGACCTTCTTATTCTGTCAGTGGGAGAAACATCACTTCTGGGTGGGCAAGCGAGTGGATTCATGGGCCAATGCCTGCTAGTTATGGGCAGATGGCAACCCTACTCAAAGGGAAGGGCATTCCAAAGGCAAGGTGACACCACTGAAAAAAACTGGCCAAAATAGGGAGCTGGATGAGTTTGCAATTCCCCCAGTTTCTAATTCTCCTTAGATCCCAGGTTCATCAGCTTTGGTATTTTTAAAGCTGACTAACAAGTTAATTAAAATAAATGGAAACTGGGAATTCTAGATCCGCAGATCCCCACCCACAGCAGTATTCTGTAAGAAAAAGCCATTTATCTCAGTTGCCAAACAATATAATTTATAGCAGGAAAGAAAACCCACGATCTATAATTTCCATATGAACTTTTATATAAATCTACCCACACCATATAATCAGCGTTCTTTCTGCCACTTAGAACCGATCAATTATCCCAGCACAGTTCTGGCAAATATTGTTCTGTTCTACTAATGCATCACACTAGGGATACTCAGATTTCTGCTGTTACTTAATATGCTTCGTAGCTATGGTTTTTCACAAGTCACAGTACGTTTTAGCTAGGAGTTAGTATTGTCTTGCTAATGACACCCCTTACCAGAAAGGCACACAAAGGACAGGGTGGAGACTCGCTGTAGGAGAAATAACCATGTGCCGTGTACATCAGGGCTTTCTTCTGCATTGCAGTACTAGCCTAAGACTGTATCACCAATTTTTCTTTAAAAAAACAAAAAAATCATTTATCAGCCATGCACACCCTTCTCCTGCCCTGGAGCATGCATCTTTTATATATTGTGTATTTTTAAGAGAAAATGTGACAATTAAGTCGTGGGTTAGGGCTTTGAAACGGAGATGAGCACCGCAACCCTAGAGTCGGACTCGACTGGCTTTCGAGCAAGGAAACCTTTACCTTTACTTTTAGGGCTTCAAGGTACAAGGAAGTCTTGTAAGATTTAAATCAGTGGTATCAAACATACGGCCCGGGGGCCGGATCAGGCCCTCGGAGAGCTTCTATCAGGCCTACAGTGGAACTGGCTGTCTTCTGCTGCTTCTTCCAGTTCTGCTGCTGCTGCGTCATCGTAGGTTTGCAGCTTATAGATACATACCTGAACAGCATACTCAAGATTGCAACAGCACAGACATTTTGATGCAATAATTCAGAGCAAGAGGTGTCTGTTATCAGACAGTGGTAAATAAAAAAAATATTGCAAGAGTGCTAATATTTTAAGCATGTTTTAAAGTTAAAAAAACCCTTTGTGCCCTTTATAAAGTTTATATCTCCTCTACCTGGCATTACATTTTATGACACACATGGCTCGGCCCAACAAGGTCTCATTTATGTCAGGTCCGGCCCTCATAACAAATGAGTTCGATGCCCCTGATTTAAAGGATCCTGAGTAGCAAGACCAGGGGCCAAACTAGAAGTGACAGCATCTTCATGTCTGCCACAGGGATGATGCCACCATTTTAAAGTGATTTTAAAATTCCGTGAGGGCCCGCAAGCTGATGCTCTCATTCCCTTGCCCTGCACCTTTCCAAGTGCTAAAATGGCCACCACCACCCCCTAACAGTTTCAGCACTTGAAAAGTCATGGTTGCTGAGTGGGCTCCTCTGCCCACTGCACAGCAAGCCTAATCAGGATCAGGATCTCACTACGCTTTTCAATAACTTTAAAATGGCAGTAGTGGTCTGCATGGTAAACACAAGGACATCATCTCTACTAGTTTGGCCCTAGGAGCTAATCTTTAAAGTTTTGCAGTGCCACTGTCTCTCAGGATTGATAAGACCAGACTATGATCTCATAGTGCATGTCTGAAATAACAAATCCATTATAAAGTTCAGGGTGGTTGAAATGTGATGAGAAATCAACCTGTTTGCATGGATGTTAATCAACTTAGAAATTTGCTACAGGCTTATTTAAAACTGGTTGTTTTTCACATGCCACAAAGTTGATATTGGTGCCTTTAGAACTGCCTTCCTGTTGTTCACACATGCACAACAACAACAATGGAAAGAAGGATGAAGACTTAAGTGGCACATGTGACGAATTCCACTTAAGGTGACTTCATATGGTTTCATGCCTATAAAGCAGGGGTCCCCAGCTAGGGATGTCAGCACCCAGGTGGGACCTCGGGATCCCCCCGAAATTACACCTCATCTCCAGACTACAGAGATCAGATCACCTGGATAAAATGGATGTTTTTGAGGGTAGACTCTAGGGCATTGGACCCCACTCATGTCCCTGTCCTTCCAGGTTGCATCGCCAAATCTCCAGGAGTTTCCCAATCTGGATTTGGCCACCCTGCGTCCCCCATCCTCTGTTCGTGGGCAGGGGGACGTGGCAATCCTGTTCCCAGTGGGCACCGACACCTTTCCTGAGGCTTGCCAACTGTTTTTAGAAAGTGTGCAGGGGCCAATGGTGCTCTTACCCAGCAGGATTCTGATTGGCCACTGGAAATTTGATTGGCCATGTAGATTAAAAACAAAACTTTGGTTTGGCGACACTGCCACCACAATACCAGGATTTTCACTGTGTGACTGAAGGTAAGTTGTGTATGAGCAAGAAGAGCCCTTGTTAGCCGCCCTGAGCCTCAGGGGTAGGGTGGGATACAAATCTAAGGATAAAAAATAAATAAATAAATAAAAATACTTTTAAATTGATATGTTCATTTAAACAGTTCTGTTAAACAGAGCTTCTGCCTGAAATATTGAAGAGTTAATGTTAGAGTTATGTATAACCTCACTCCCTGATATTTTGTGGTTGGCTCTGTTGTCTGTGGCAGCCATTTTGTGGTTGCGCCCACTACCCTATGTCAGGATTCCAAATGTGCCCACAGCCTCAAAAAAAAAAATAGATGAGGGACCCCAGCTTTAGACCAATCCAGTCTGGGAGTACTTATATACCCTTTTAATGGGGAGCAATTATCATTCTCTGAAGATAAAAATGCAAGCACATTAAA